AGGCTGTGCTGAGTGATGAATGAGGCTAAGCAGGGCTCTCCTGCTCGGTGATTTGGATAAGGACCTACTACACGAGAGTTAAGAGCATTATAATTCCCTTTATCACCACATAAACATGTCACTTACCCGGAAAGCATACAATTTATTTGTACGTGGGAATGTAATTTAAAAATTTTCCAAAAACCAGATTGAATCCTGGGAAGCAATTTTCAAGTAAACAAAAACATGCCATGTTAATAAGCACTGGGCCCCCACCCCCCACATAATGTGTATGTACACACTCGCTCAGATTCAGACAACTGGGGGCTGGGGGGGAGGACTGAAATGGAACCAACCTACTTGGAATTGTGATCGAAAACTTGAACCAAAAGCAAGTCCCAGAGTATTTACCTTCGTAGAGAGACGGAGCAGATGGAGTGCGTAAATGGGCTACATCTCAGGGTGGGAGATGCGGGCTCGTGCAGCCCACCCGAAGCACATGGAAGGCCTTGGAGAAGGGGCAGGCCTGAGGTGGGCCGGGGGGACAGAGCAGCACATCCACCCCAGGGTCACATCAGCCCCTCGTTCTCTTGATCTTTCTACAGCTTGGCGTCACCCCTTACGTCATTCTGGGTGAGTCTCAGAATTAAACAGCCCTATGGTGCTCCCCTCCGAGGAGGAGCCAGGGGCTTGGTGAAGTCAAGAGCCTTTGTCCTGGGGCCCCTCCAAGGAGGGCCCTGCACTCACCGCTCTCTGGGTGTAAAGGCTGGGCATCTCCTGCTCCACCGCGGCTGCCCCTCTACCCCAAACAGCAGCCGCAGCCACTGCTCCCAACGCCCCATTCTGCCTCTAGGGAGTCGTCCTTCAGTCTCACGTCTCTGCCCTCAGCTAAGACGGTGTGATGCCCAGAAAGCGACGTGCTAACTTTGGTGTTCTCAATGTGGAGGTACCAGGGCGGCCTGTCTGTGCGAGTTGTAGGAGTACGGGGAGGGGAGGGGAGGGGAGGGGAGGGAAGAGGAAGAGGAAGAGGAAGAGGAAGAGGAAGAGGAAGAGGAAGAGGGCCCTGAAGCACCCTGGATGTGCAGGATGAGGGGCCCAGGCATTCACGCAGGTGCTGGCAAGCAGGAACTCCTGAGCCACCTCAAGGGCAGCCAAACTCGGTCCTGAGCCCAGGGACCTCACAGATGGTGAGAGATAAAAGAACACAGCCATCTTAGGGGACAGAAACGCAGCAAAAACGGGGGAAGGTTTTCCACACTCAACTCGGGAACGAGATAATTGCCGTTAAAAGCCACTAACTGATGGGGGCTGGTGACTCACACAGTAATGCGGCAGCCTCCGACCCCGCCAGGGAAGGCAGGTACCAGGCGCCTCCGTGAAGGGAGAGCACCCTACCCGAGGGGCCAGGTGCACTTGGTCTGGAGTTGGGCTGAACACGGGAGTCTTTGCTGGCCTGGGCGCCTCAGCGGGGCTCACTCTCACACCAGCCTCCAGGAGGCTCTTCTCCCACTCGAACCTTCTGCAAGGGCTCAGGCCTGGTGGGGACCAGCCCTAACAAATGCCAAGGGACTCTCCACTGTCGCCCACAGGAGCCACAGTGCTGACCCAAGCCCAGCCCAGTGGGATCAGAGAGCAGGCGCCTGGGCCGTGGCTGTACTGCCGTGTGGGCCTGCAGGGAGACAGAACCAGCCGTGACCCGAGGGCACTGACTCTGGGCAGCGCCTGAGGGAGTTTAAGAGACTGTGGGAGACGGCCCTGCAGCCCTAGGCCCTCAGTGAAGGCCCCACGTTGGTGCCCACTCAGCCCATTTACCAGTAGCCCCTGGCTGAAGTCCAGACTGTCACGCTCGCCCCTTTGACATCAGGGTGGGAGTTGGGTCAGTACCGACCAGCAGCCTGTACCTCCCAGAGGCCACTGTCCTCCCACCTGCAGCGCCCCTCGGGGCACACAGCCTGGGTGGCAGGCCCGGGGCGGCGTGGGCCCAGGAGCTGGTGACTACCTTGGCATACTCAAACATGCGGAGGTCAGTGTACATGTCCAGCGCCAGGTTCTCGTGCCCGCTCTTCTTGTACAGTTTGGCAGCCTCGTGGAACTTCCCCTGGTAGGAGTACACATCTGCCAGAAACAGGTCATTGTTGCTTTCTCCCTGCTTCTTCCTCTCCTGGAAAAATGAGAAGCACAGGAAGTGGCCCCTGCAGCCACGGGCAGGAAGCAGCCTCCACAGAGGTTACGTGTTGCTATTTCCAGCTATGGCCTGGGCCTTCCCACCGGGGCCGACGCTTGGCTCCTGGGCTGTTGTGTCTCTCACCTTGGTTTCTGGTGGGAACGCTTGACAACAAAAGCAGATATTTTTTCCAGACAAGTGAAGATCAAAAAGAGGCAAACCTTTGTTTGTTTAATGGAAATTCCTCAGGGTGGCTTTCCTGTATATGCTTCCAAGGTGGCTGGCCACTAGAGGCTTAGGCACTGCACTGCTGACTCCCTGGTGGCTGCAGCCTAAGATCCCCAAAGCCCCAGGTCAGGTTGGCACACAGTGATGGCAGACAAGGGAAGGCTCAGGTTTCTGCCCAAAGTGGAGGCCAGTAAACTAGGGTAACAAGGGGCCGGCAGGTGGCATGGTGGCTAAGGCGCTGGACTCCCGCGTGTCAAGCACAGCTGGAGTCCCAGACCTGGCGGCTTGCTTTCTCACTCTCTCTCTGTAGCACTGGTGCACGCTGTCTCTCACGCTCTCTCCAGAGAGCACGCGTTGCCCTATAGCAAATTAAAAATAATACGTGAATAAACATAATAAAATAAACATAAAAAGAAAACAGGGGAACGAGTCTTCCTATGGTCCTACTCCTTTTGCTTTGTTTTTAGTTTTCGCTACAGGGTGCGTGTGCTCGCTGGAGAGAGAGCGTGAGAAATCACTCCCCCGGGGCAATGGCCACGCTGCAATCCCTTCTCCTCCAGTCTCCTCTTAGATTTCGGGCGTGTGCACACATGCACCTGGTGTGATTTTCAAGCCACCAGGTCTGGGATTCAAACCGTACAGCCAGCCACGTGGGATCCAGCGCCCCAACCTCCATGGTCCCATTATGGCTCTATTTCTAAAGAGAAAGTAAGAAACACCCTATCCCGCACGTCCGGCTGGGGCTGGGCATGTCACTCACACACACAGGCTCTGCTCCTCTCAGAGACCGCAGGGCCGGGCGTCGCCACCTGGAGACTAAAGTGAGGACGGCTGGGACTCGAGGGGAGCCACAGATCGAGGTCACGTGGAGCCGGCACGGACTCAGCTCTGCCTCCAGGTGCCCCAGCAACACACCTGTGTGCGTGTGTGCGGGCGCGCCCACCCCCGGGGGCTCAGCAGAGCCGAGGACGAGGGGGTGTACCCCGCACACGCCCTCCTCCTGCGTCGGGGACGCCCCTTAGTCTGTAGCTCGAGTATTTGTAAACACTCAGTGGCACCAGTCCCTCAGCCCCAGCAGCTTGCTTTTGCTTGTTTTCCAGCAAGTGCTCCACAGTGGAGGAAGATGAGACATTGACTCAAACTCTTAGACAGGCTGGTGAAAGTTTCAACAGCTGGAGGCAGCATGCTTCCCCACTGACAGAAAGTAAAACAAAAACAAAAAACAAGAAACCTGCATATAGCCCAGGCTAATTAACCAAATAAACTAATAGCTGGAAATGAATTAAAATCTCGCAGAAAAATAAGTAGGGTTACTACTAGAGTCACGGACTCTAGGCCGCAGCACCAGGGCCAGCACAGCGAATCCTGCCCAGTCCGCAGGTCCACGCCGACGCGGGCTGAGCCTTTTCTCCTGGCTAGTCGTTGGCTGGCATCTCGCCTGTCCAGGAGGGAGCTGCTGGGAAACCTCAGCTCTCTGTAGGAAGCAGGCAGCTGTGGCCTTGGGGCAGTCCTGGTGGCCCTCTCTAAAAGGCGCTGGACTAGTTTTTGACAGACGATCTCGGGCTGATTCTGACAGACTTCCTTCTCAGCGCATCAGGAGAGGCACGGGCCAGCAGGTGGTGTGGTGTTTGGGGTGCTGGACTCCCATGTGGCTGACCACGGTTCACGTCTGGGCACATATGTGTGTGTGCCCAGAATCCCAGGACAATGTAGGAGAGGGGACTGCAGTGTGGCCATCCCCTTAGGGGGGGTGACTCCTCACGTTCCCTCTCACTGTCTCTCTCTCCTCTCCAGCAAGTGCATGTGCCCTATGGTGAAGGCCTTAAGAGAGGCAGACATTCAGAACTCAGTGGCACATGACAAATGATGAGAGCTGCTCCCAGTGGGGGCCAGGCACCTCTGTGCAGAGAACCACGATGTCCCACAGCTTGTGCAGCAGGACAGCTGATTCACGGAGGCCGGCCCCCACGTGAAGCAGCACCGGACATTGGGGCAGGTGGCCTCAAACGAGCCCTTTCCCAGACAGGTAGACAAACGACAGGACACACAGGTGTGCCTCGTGATGTGCTGGGTGCTCAGTGGGTGTGGAGGGGCGCACGGCCTAAAGACCACAGGGGCTTAGGAGACAGACCGAGCTTTGGGTGCAGCCCCTTGGGGTCATGAGCCAGCCCTCCGGGCCTTGGTTCCCTTACCCTCAGATGGGGGGACAGCAGGACCTGCGCAGGGCAGGGTGAGGCCTGAGGACCCTCAGACAGGGGGATGGTAGGACCTGCACAGGACAGGGTGAGGCCCGAGGCGAGGACCCTCAGACGGGGTATGGCAGGACCTGCACAGGACAGGGTGAGGCCCGAGGACCCTCAGATGGGGTATGGCAGGACCTGCACAGGACAGGGTGAGGCCCGAGGACAGCGCTCCTGTCGGTCACTCGTTGCACCGAGCCGACTCACTGGGTGGAGCGGCTGGGAGCCCCTGCAGGCCTCTGCACCCAGCTCTTTGGCCGCTGGGCTTGGCCCACAACAGGTGCCCGTTGTGCTGAACTAAACTAGAGGAACGAGACATTTGCTGAGTTCCTCACTACTTCCACTTGGGAATTCAAATGTATCTCACATTCCCAACGCTCACAATAAATCTGTTCAGGAGAAAAAATATGAACGCCTTTTCACAGACAGACAGCACTGAGATACACAGAGATGAGAACAGTGTCTACCATCACCCAGCAAATGGTACGCCAGGAGCTGCCTCATCGGCCGTCCCAGGCCTATCTGGGTTTGGCTGCCAAGGCCCGTGTTCTCAGCTAGGGACAGCAGGTGTGTGCATGCATGTGTGTGTGTGAGTCCCACCTGCAGGCCTCTCTCCCCAGATCCATTTCTGGGGTGGAGTAAAGCTCATAAGCACCATGGAAACACCTCCGCCCTAGCTGATGACTGAAGTCCAAGAGGACGTCCCCAGCTAACCGCCCACAAGGGTACAAACCGAGCACCGGAACCTATTTCTCCCCGCGGCACCCCTGCCAGGTAGGTCTGCTCCTGTCACAGTCAGGACGCCACGGCTCAGGGACAGAGGCACCGTCTGCCTCCCCCAGACACCCAGCGACAGCCTGCACCATGTGCTCTGAGACACTGGCCACTCCCCACGTGGCCACTCTGACCCCGAGGCCCGGGCTCCGGGGGGCTGTCTGCGTGTGCCCAGGGCTCTCGCCAGCCAGCAGGACTGCCTGTGCGCTGCCGACACCGCGCCTGGGAGTTCTGGAGAAGGAAGAGCGCTCCACCGTTTACCTCAATGCTGCTGATGAGCTCTAAGTACCGCAGGTCTTGTACTCTGATGAAAGCCTACAGGGAAGAAGTGAAGACGGAAATCAGCTGCCTGCTCGGCTTCAAAAGCGGGTGATTGGCTGTGGGTGGGGGCTGGCAGGCAGGGAGAAAGCAGCCCTGATTAATCCCCGCGTGCTCGGGAGGGCCTGCCACCCAGCCAGGCCCGGCTTTATCCCTCGGATTAGCCCATACAAAGCACAGCAAAGGAGTCCCGCTGCATCAATCACTCGGGGATTAGGTAAAACGAAACTATGATACCGCAGTGCTGACGGCGCCTCCTCGGAGGACGGCCGGGCCGGCCTGACCTCCGAGGTGGGAGGCCTGACGCACTGACTGGGCTGCAGACCCAGGGGTGCCACGGACATGGGACACCCAGAGCCTGGGCCAGGCACCGAGGGAGGGAGGACGGGGAAGCTGAGAAGCAGTAAAGATGGTTTCAGGAGGAGAGGGGAGGTAGGGAAGGGCCCCCCCAAGCCACTGGGAGGTCACTCTCCATAAACCCTGGAAGTGCATCTCTTGCCTTGGACTCACAGGACAGCCAGAGACTTGAACCTGCCACTAGAAGTTTCTGAAGGGCAGGGAGGCCTTTCAGACTCGGCGAGGGGTTGGTGCTCACAGCCCGTCCTGCCCGCTGCTCTACGTGGCTGTGCTCCTAACAGTTCCACCCGGCAGAGCTTCCTCTCTCCTTCTTGTTTTTATTTTTCATTTTTTGTCAGAAGTGTCACATGCACTAGCCAGAGAGGTGGAGAGAGGGAGGAGGCGCCTCCCAGTGGGGCGTGGTCGTCCGCACGCCCTCCTCCATCTCTGTCCTGTTGGGACGGGGCACACGTGCACGTGCACATGTGCCCAGTGTGCTTCTCAGGATCAGGATTCGAACCCCACGGTCGGCCACTGGGATCCAGCTCCCTTAACCACCAAGCCGCAGGGCCGGACCCCAGCTGTGCGTCTTTCCCGTGTGAAATGGGCTGACACACACCCAGAGGAGGCAGCAGCTCCGAGCCCTTAGGACTGAACATGCAGAACCGCCCTGGCCACCTGCAGCTTCTGCTTCCCTACATGGCGTCCTCCTCCTAAAAAGACGGGGAAAGGAGCGAGCTACCCGAGCTCTCCGGCCCTGGCTGCCTCGCGATGGCCACAGTGTGACTTCATCTTCACCCCAGGGGAACCCAAGGCTGAATACCACCTGCCCCTCTCCCTATCCCGGCGGGACCCAAGGCTGAATACCACCTGCCCCTCTCCCCAGGCCACATCCCACGAGGGAGGCAGGCAGGTACAGATTGACTGTCCCTGGGCTGAGTGGCACGGTCCTGAGAACATGGATTCACTGACAGCTCGGCTGTAGCAGGAGGCAGGGTTATGTGAACCGGGCAAATGGATGTTCTTGAAGAATTTATAGACAGCGTAGGGCGGGCATCACAGGAGTAGAGGGACGAGGATCAAGAACATCTGAGCTTGGGGCCAGCAGGTGGCAGGTGGTGCAGCGGTTGAGGCGCTGGACTCCCAAGTGGCCAACCTAGTCCAAGTCCCAGACCTGGCAACTTGCTTTCTCACTTTCCCTCTCTTTCTCTTTGTCTCTGGCCAAAGTAGAAAAAAGGCAATGCTACTAAATGAAGTTAAATCATTAAAAAGAAAAGCTGAGCTTCATGCTGAAGGTCTTACATGCCACCTCTGAGCCTGGGTCCCTCACGGCACACAGAAGAGCTCTTCCACACCTGGCAGGGCGGCAGCGGGAAAGACACTGCCTTCGAGGTCCCTGCCTGGCACGGAGGCACTCCCACCAGGCCCGGAGCCTGCTTCTTCCCTGCTTCTGGGCTCCAGCCGCCTGGTGGACAGGAGCAAACTAGCGATGCCTCCTCCAGGGGTCTTTCTAGTTCTGCTGTGCTGGCTTGTAGGAGGATACACCCGTGAGAACTCGGTTTCCAAGCTCCTCTGGCCCTAGCACATTCCGCAGAGTCAGGGTGCCTGGTCGGAGTGGTCAGAGTCACAAGGCTGTGAATAACCTCAGAGGAGAGTGTGGGAACAGGGAGGGCGGCAGCAGGCAGCGCTGAGCAGCTCGCCTCTGCCATCTACTGGGGACGCCGGTCTAGCAGCCGGAGCCACCCTCCACAAGCACTGGCCTGCGGGCCTGGCAGTGGAAGAGGAAGGCTGGGCACTCAGGATTTGGATAAAATATCCAGTTCTAGTCTATGGTTAAAATCTCGTGTCTTTTTCAAAACATTATGTTGTGTGTAATAAATATATATGCAATTTTGTCAGTTAAAATAAATAAACACTTCTAAAAATGTCTTGAGGCTTTAATGCTGCACAATCATTTCTGTTCTCTGGGAGTGTTTCTGGGACCCGAGATGGGGGGGGTAAATAAATAGGTCAATCCAGTTTAGTTCTCACTCACTCGACTACTTGCTGAGCACCAAACCTGTCTCAGGCACCATGCCAGGCAGCGTGAGGTGGTTCTACGATGGGTGTGAGGAGGTGACAATCTAGAGGGAGACTCCCCCTGTCATTCCATGCTTAAAACAAACAAAGGAAACTGACTCTAGGATCCTCTGTTATTCCTTCCTCCTGGCATTTCTGGGTGGGGTTGGAGAAGGAAGCCCTCTCCAGAGAGAGGCTGCCTCCCTCCTCTGAGTTCTTAAAGCCCACCTCTGTTAGATCTACACTTAGTAGATCTAAAAATACAGATACTTCTTACATAAGGGTAATGTTCCTTGTTTAATAGTGGCTGGCATTTGCACAGCCGTCCCTAGTTTTAGACTCCCCTTCGGGATGTCTCGGTTAAGCCTGGCACGCTGTGGAAGGCTCGTCAGGCATCGCAGTCTTCATCTGCCTGGTTGAGGGACGGGAGGACCAGCGAGGAGAGGTCTCCAGAGGCCAGAGCCCCACCAGGCAGCTGGCTCTCAGGCAGGCTTCCACATCCTGGTCTGGACCAGCATGCTCTCCTTGCCTGCCTGAAGCCATGACTTGGCACGAGCAGGCACCACACAGCTCTCTGTAACCCCTTCAGAACCGGCCCAGTAGGACGGGCAGCTCGACTCTGGGCGGACAGAGGGGAGAGGGAGTGCAGAAGGTCCCACGTGGAGCCCAACGCAGAAACTTATCTGCGATGTAGCTACGGTACAGAAAGGGGTCGGGTGTTGGTGGCCGTTTCTCCAGTTAGTAGGTGAGGCCAGGAAACGACACGTAAGCCGGGCCGTGACTCATGCCAGGAAGGTATGTGGGAAGGGAGCACGCAGCTGTCGGCACCCTAGAGCTTGCCCGGTCCTCCCACCGCACCGAGCAGAGTGCTGAGGAGCCGCCTGTGTAATCAGTGGCCGAGTGCTCGCAGCAGTGATTAAAGGATCAGTGACCGAGGGCCTCTTCCATGCCAGGCGTTTCGCTGGGCACTCTAAATAAACGGCAGCCCAACATGGTGGCAGCCAGAATCTGCCAGATGCTTCTCCGGGGTCAGCCTCTAGCCTCCCAGAGCCTCACGGCTTTGGGGGATAGGGTCTGATTCTACAGAGCAGCCACCTTAGAAGGCTGTGGCCTGCCCAAGCTCACCGGGAGGAAGTAGCCGGGCTGAGACACACAGCCAAGTCTGTCCAACCCCAGAGCCTGCGGCAGGCTGCCCTGCCTCTCCACGCCACCCGCACCTGCTGCCGGCCCTGCTGACCAGGTGCTTACCTTCTTCGCCGTTTCAAACTCTAGTCCTTCCAGAGCTTCCATGGCTAGCTCTCGCCAGTCGGCATCCGTCACACCCAGGCAAGCGATCTGGTAGGCTTCTTGGAACATCTTCCTATCCAGGTACTGGTACATGGGAGCGGACTGCCGGATGCAAAGGAGAAGAACGGTTAGCGTGCTGGGGACTGCGACTCCCGCACGGTCCGCCGCCAGGTGAGGCGCGACTTCATCGCAGATGCCTGCAGAGGAAGGACAAGCCCTCGGACCCTCGGCCTCCGCCCGGCCCACCTCGCGCGCCCTGCGCTCTGCCAGCCCCTCGCGGCAATCTCCGTGCTCTGCAGAACAGACTCCCCTCCTGCCTTCCCCCACCTAGGCCTGCCTTAGCACAGAGCCCATCCTCACCTGGAATGCCTTTGGCCCTCCTCACCCTCTAAAGAAATACCTCCTTGGCTGTCAAAGGCCCTGACGAAACGCCCTCTCTTCTGGGAAGTCTTCGCTGACCCTCAAGCTCCCACCTCCAGAAAGGAGCCTGAACTTCCCCTGCCCTTGGTCTGGCAATCACACACCTGTCTCCCTGATGAGGCCACACACAACCTGTGGGCCGTAGTGGGGTGGCCCTGCCCCCTTCAGCAGGCCTTCAGCCTGTGTTGGCTGAAAGAGGAAGAGGTCTGCAACGGCCTCTCCTTAGAGGGACTAAGACTGACAAACGCAAGTGTGCGAGCTGCTCCAGGCTCCTGAGGAAGGCTCTGGAGGGTCTCTAAGCTCCCGGGCACTGGGGCGCTCCTTCCTGCAGGGCGGGCTGCCTTTGCTGTGCAGAGTCGTGCGTGGGTCCTCACGACGTCTCCTCTCAGGCTCGCCGGTGCCTTTGGCTCTGTCCCAACAGCCCCGGGTCGTAGGTACTGTTGCCTCTGAGTACAGCCTAGGACACACCCGGCAAATGGGAGCCCCGAGGCTGGGGCCAGGGGCGGCCTGAGCTGTCTGTGCATGGGTGCGTGTGTGCGAGCACGCGTACATCCACCAGCCTCAGCTGGGCCTGGCCGCCCCATCCCTGGCTCTGGGCCAGTTCGAGTGCACGGGGGCCTACTTCTCTCCTTCTGGGTTCCCAGGCAGGGATCAGTCGGCCAGGACCTCTGCTCTAACGGCTCCCAAATGTGGAGCCAGAAGTGCTGGTTTTTCCATTTGGAGCTTTTCTCTTTGAGATGTCCAGTTTCATTTTTCTCAGTGGCAGAGTTGAAGGAGATTTTTTTTCTTTTTTTGTTTCCCAACTAGTCCACCCTCACAGCCAGACATGGCGGCTCCTGAGAGCTTATGTTCTCTGCCATGCCATGCCCCCGCCTCCCACTTCCGGGGCGGCAGGATGTGGACTACAGAGCAGGTGAGCTAGACCCCAGGCCAGGTTCAGCCGCTTCCCAGCTGGTGATATGGGTTGAGTGGGCCTCCATGGGCAGAGGAGGTGCTCTGAGGACGAGGCGCGTGCTGCCTGCACTGGCTGCTCACCTGCTCCCGACCCGTCTGCGCCCCCACCCTCCCCTCTGCGGCAACGCCCTCCCGGCTCCTCTCTGCCTCCCAGACCTCAGACTGCATCTCATCACCTCGAGCTTTCCTTTCCAAAGGCCTTCGGTAGGTACCCTCTGCTCTGATTTAGTCCTGCCCTGTGGTTTTTGCTATTTCATGACTGACAGGGACAATCAGAGATAAATGATCATAGGAGGGGGCCGGACATAACCTGAAAGATGGCTATAACTAGCCCCATTTCACAGAAAAGAAAACGAGGCCCCAGAGTGAAGCGATGCTCCACTTCCAGCCGGTTCAGGGTGCCCCTCCCTGTCCGTGCCCGTCCTGCCTGCTGAGTACGGCGTGGAGGACAGGCACTCTGAGGGCACATCTGAACAGAGCATGCGCAGGACAGCCACACGTGGGCTTGCCTGGGAGCTGCAATGGGGGGCAGGGTGAACAACGCGTTACAACAGCTGAGGCAGACGCCCTCTGAGTGTTCCAAAATGAAGTCACCGTAGCCCGGGGAGGGCCGACTAGGGCTGGCTGCCCCACTTGGCAGCCCTGACAGACCAGTTCTTGCACAAGATGATGTCAATTTCGAAAGGAAACCAAAAATCTCAAGAGTGGCTCTGCTGTTTTCTCCCTCCTCTCCGGGCCAAAACCACAGGATGGCTGGAGGCAGAGGCGGCAGATAAACGGCCTTTGTCTCGAGCTGGCCTTTCCTAACCCTTGGCAGTTTGGACCCGCTGCATCAGCAGGACGGCCTGGACCAGCCAATGGAGGCCCTGGCTACTCAATCTCGGGGTCCTGGCAGAGGAAGCCCGAATGCCCCTTTGGCTCCTCTGGGCCGGCCAAAGCCAGGGAGCAGCAGACTGATTTGTATCTGAGGCCAGGACGGAGACCTTGGGAGAAAACCCCTTAATAAGCACAACCTGTCTGGCACGATGGAGAAAGAGCGGGTTTCTGGTGGACGTGAGGCATGGGTTTGGTATGGAGGACAGATGAGGACGGCGAGGAAACAGTCCAGGAGAAGCTGTTTTTGTCCCTCCTTCTGCCGCCACTTCCACCCACCTCACTCCCTTCTCTCACTTTCTTTTTTAAAAAATGTTTTGTTAGACTTTATTTTAAACTTTAAAAAAGCTTCTCTATTTCTTCAGGAAGAGAGAGACAAACACCTCTCACAGGGCCCTCATGCCATGACCCACCCCCGGCCTCAGCGGGCCTGAGTCACAGGTATATATGCACATGCACCCACATGCAGAGGAAGGACCCGGGTGCAAACCCGGGACCCCCAGCCCACGTGGTGCAGCTACTCCACTGCCTCGCCTCCCTGTTTTCCCTTCCTTGGTTCTCTTTGTCTTCGTTAGACACGAATTGACTCACACTTCTTGAGTAACCGCTCCGTGTCGGGCCTTGACGGTAGGCGCCTGCCCAGGAATTCCTGCAACATGGACTAACAGAGGAAGAAGTGGACTCTGGCCCGACAGCGAGCGGTGTGGACAGAAGGTAGACCGACAGGGTACAGCTGAAAGGAAGTCTGGAAGTATGCGGGGACTTCAAAAAGTTCATGGAAAATGAACCCCAAAAAGAGGAAATCCGTATATAGCTTTTTTCATAATCATCATTTTTCCATGCCACTTTTGAAGACTTCTCATGTGCCTAAACATCTTTATATGCACATAGCTTTTGACCCAGCAACTTCTCTTTTTTTTTTTTTTTTTGAGAGGTTTTTGCTATAGGGCGCGTGCGCTCGCCAGACAGACAGAGACAGACAGAGAGACAGAAAGCGAGAAATCACCCCCCAGGGGGGATGGCCACGCCGCAATCCCTTCTCCTCCATTCTCCTCTCGGGATCTTGGGCACGCACGCACACGCGCCTGGCGTGAGTTTAAACCACCAGGTAGCTTCTCTATTTCTTCAGGAAGAGAGAGACAAACACCTCTCACAGGGCCCTCATGCCATGACCCACCCCCGGCCTCAGCGGGCCTGAGTCACAGGTATATATGCACATGCACCCACATGCAGAGGAAGGACCCGGGTGCAAACCCGGGACCCCCAGCCCACGTGGTGCAGCTACTCCACTGCCTCGCCTCCCTGTTTTCCCTTCCTTGGTTCTCTTTGTCTTCGTTAGACACGAATTGACTCACACTTCTTGAGTAACCGCTCCGTGTCGGGCCTTGACGGTAGGCGCCTGCCCAGGAATTCCTGCAACATGGACTAACAGAGGAAGAAGTGGACTCTGGCCCGACAGCGAGCGGTGTGGACAGAAGGTAGACCGACAGGGTACAGCTGAAAGGAAGTCTGGAAGTATGCGGGGACTTCAAAAAGTTCATGGAAAATGAACCCCAAAAGGAGGAAATCCGTATATAGCTTTTTTCATAATCATCATTTTTCCATGCCACTTTTGAAGACTTCTCATGTGCCTAAACATCTTTATATGCACATAGCTTTTGACCCAGCAACTTCTCTTTTTTTTTTTTTTTGAGAGGTTTTTGCTATAGGGCGCGTGCGCTCGCCAGACAGACAGAGACAGACAGAGAGACAGAAAGCGAGAAATCACCCCCCAGGGGGGATGGCCACGCCGCAATCCCTTCTCCTCCATTCTCCTCTCGGGATCTTGGGCACACACACACACATGCGCCCAGCGTGAGTTTAAGCCACTGGGTCCGGGACTCGAACCGCAGTCAACTACATGGGAGTCCAGCGACATAGCCATTACGCTAACTGCTGGTCCTGAGAAGTCTATCTATTAGGGATAGATGCAGACGGGATAGAAGATGCCTACTAGTCACGATGGCCAAACAGCTGTAGGCGGTATAAACACCCAGCAGTCAGTGCAGCTGGGCGAACTGTGGAGCATCCGCCCCAGAGCCGTTACAACAGCTGGGGCAGGAAGAGGTGAGGGCAGTTACACGGGGCTGCCTGGCACCAGAGCCTGAGGCAGCTTCTGTCAGGACCGTGCTGGTGGAGTCCAGGAACCTCCACGGGTGATACACTGAACTGTAGTTTGGCCAGCGGTGACCACTGCGGGGAACTGGGCAAGGCAAACCAGGGATGGCTGACTTATCTTGCAGGTGTACGTGAGCCTGCAACGCTCCTACTATTGGGAGATGCCAGAGAAGTATTTACAGATGTGGAACCAGGCTGCCAGTAGACTGCTAAGTGACAAATCCGGGTTACTAGTGCACGGCCTGTTGCAGTTTCAGTGTGCCCCTGAAAAATTCACAAGGCGGGGACCAGCAGTTAGCATAACGGCTATGTCGCTGGACTCCCACGTAGTCGACCGCGGTTCGCGTCCCGGACCCGGTGACTTAAAACTCACGCCGGGCGCGTGTGCGTGTGTGCCCAAGATCCCGAGAGGAGAATGGAGGAGAAGGGATTGCGGCGTGGCCATCCCCCCTGGGGGGTGACTTCTCGCTTTCTGTCTCTCTGTCTCTCTGTGTCTGGCGAGCACATGCGCCCTATAGCAAAAACCTCTCCAAAAAAAAAAAAAAGAAAAAAATTCACAAGGCACATTCACAAAATTCGGCTGTGACAGGATTAGGAGGGTGAAAACAATCTGATTGGATTGTTTAAGAAGCAGGGCCTTCGGTAGATGGGCAGGATTAAGATCAGCAGGGTGGGTCTCTCGGGATTGGATCTGGGTGGGTTTCTAAGGAGACAGCAACGTGGCCATGCACACTGAGCCCTTGCTCCACTTGCAGGCGGTACCCGGGACTACTCTGGGACTCAGCTCAGCCCCCACCGGCAGGAAGCCCCCACCGGCAGGACGTCGTCACATGCATGCTCTCGACCTTGAACTTTCAGAACTATGAGATAGATCAACATCTACTTTTTATAAATTACACAGACTCACTTACTTCTTCTTTTTTTTTTTTTTTCTTTTTTAAAGAAAGAGATTTTTACCATAGGGTGCATGCACTTGCCAGAGAAACAGAGAAAGAGAAAGCAAGAAATCACCCCTGAGGGGGAATGGCCATGCCACAATCCCTTCTCTTCCATTCTCCTCCTGGGATTTTGGGCACGCACACACAGCAGTGAGTTTTAAGCCACTGGGCATGGGACTTGAACCATGGTCGACTACATGGGAGTCCAGCAATGTAACCATTATGCTATCTGCTGTTTCCTGAACTCAGTTTCTTCTGCTATTCGCAACACAATGGACCAAAACATAGCCAATAATTCACGAAACGATGGGTCTGCAATATTTAAATTAGGTTACATTAGAGGATGGGAATAAAGGAGAATAAAAGCCTCTATCAAGCCAGCCAGTGGTGTGGTGAAGGGGGTTAGATCCCACATGGCCGAATGCGTGGTTCCAGTCTCGATCTGACAACTTGAAAAACGTGTGTGGTATGTGTGTCTACGTGCCCCAGGTCCCGGGAATGGAGAGGGTGTTGATCCACGGCCACGCCCACTGGGAGGGGCTTCCTCACTCTCCCTCCCCTTTCTCTCCCCAGCAGTGCATGTGCTCTACAGTAAAAGACAGGAAAAGGAGTCTGTATCGCAAGCCAGCCGTGAGCCTCAGCGGCTAGGCCCATAGAGAGCTGGATCCCATGCGGTCAGCTGCACGAGTCCCAAACCCAGCAGCCTGAAAAGCATGCTGCCGGGCCCGTGGTGCACCTGTGCCCAAGGCTCCAACAGGATGGCGCGACTATACCCCACTGGGGTGTTCTCTCTCTCTCTCAAGCACATGTGTCCTTTGTCAAAAGAAGAAAGGTATCTCCCGTTCATGGTCCACACTCAGTGAAGCACGCACTGAGCCCGAGGGCTCGTCTGTAGGCAGCAGGGCGTACATAAGTAAGACCATAAACAGTACTTTCGGCACAATCCCACTCTGCATTATTGTGCACAAAGTCAGGAGTGACTCTCTCAAGGGTGGCACTCAGGGCTGAGGCTCCTCCCTGGGGCTCATCTCTACCTTTAACGACTCTGGTGCGCACCCTCCACTTAGGGGCCCCTGCGGTCAGGCCAGCCCCATGTGGGTGGTCAACCTCTGCCCATCCATGTTCCTGCCCTCTCCATCCCGTGGCCCCCACACCCCAGTCCCCACTTCTGTCGTGGCCTCTCCTAGCTCCACGGGCTTGTGCAGAGTCCTCTGCTCCGCTTTTTGGTTCCCAGACCTTGGCCCCGGGGACCCCAGCCCGACCCCCATCCTTCCTCCTGCTCTCTCAGCTCCTCCCTCTACTCGCCACGCCCACACACACACAAGACAGCAGCGAGGGCGGGCTCCGTGTCCCCTCTGCTCTGCCAGCCCTGAGAGCGAGGGGCAGGAGCAACAGGTTACCTGTGGCACCTCCACGGCAGACATGGAGGAGACGTGGAGGCAGAAGATCTTGGAGG